AAACAAGAAGATGTCTACTTATCATCTTGACTGAGACCTGACCCTTGAAATTGTTCTATCATTTCTCATGGCATTTTTCTCAAGCAATTGTTTACATAACTTTTGGAGTAAATGTGTATTCATTTGCCATACATTTAGAGTGTGTTTATTGTGCCCAAGCACCATTGGGCTATAAGGAAAACAAAGATAAATATGACAGAGACCTTGGCTTCATGTAGTTGAAGTACAGTGACAAAAAAAGTAACCCCTGCCTCACTGCCATCTCATCATGATTGAGAGAAAGTCTAGGAACTGGGGAGTGGGGCAAGAAAAGATGATACTAAATAAGTGAGGCTCAAGTTAAATACTGAAGGATGGATAGGAATTAGCCAAGTGGACATGATAAGGAAGTGCATTTCAAGCACAAATTAAACATGCATGAAGATGAACAACCTATAGTTAAAATTTTCTGGTTGTGATAGTGTAGTGTATATTCAGAATGATAAAGTTGTCAGATGTACTTGTGTGGCAGAATGAATTAGCTCATACATATCTGTAGCACCACTGGCCTTGGATCAGGACACGTTAGAGGATTCTTCTGGGCCTTAGATCAGCATGAACAACTCCCAACAAGGACCTGAGTAGTTATCTTCTAAAGATGCTCCATCGAAAGGCAGCAAGGAAGTCTATAGGTTTCAGCTGAGAGATAAATCTCATCTTAAACACTAATGACAGTCTCATCTAGGAGAGTTAACTGAAGATGCCATTTCATTAAAGTGTGACAGCCCCATGCCTCAAAGTTCTTGATGGAACAGACACAGTGCCTAACATGCCTCAAGTAAGTTCTGCTTGACTCCAGCCAAAGTTTTCTTTAGTAATTTCAGAGACTGAATCTATGTATATCTGCTGAAGTCATTTCTCCTGATTTCCAAGTCCCTTTACTCGTTGCCAGTTGTTTTAGGATTTACAAATTCCTGGCTTCTTCCTTTCACTTTTATTCCAAGAAACTATCTATAGCTGGGCTGTCCTGCATGGCAGCCACTACACAGATGTGCTGCTTAAACTTAAAAGTTCAGTATTTTATTCCACCAATCACATTCTAAATGCTCAATAGGCATTTGAGTCTATGGCTGCCATACTGGACAATTCATTTATAGAAAATTTCCATCCTCATGCTTGCATGCTCAGTCATGTCCAGCTCTTTGCAACCCCATGGACTGTAGCCCTCCAGGCAAGAATACTGGAGCGGGTTGCCATTTCCTTCTCCAGGGGATCTTCCCAACTCAGGCGTCGAACCCACATCTCCTACGTCTCCTGCACTGGCAGGCAGATTCTTTACCACTGAGCCACCTAGGAATCCCACCTACCCCTATCATAAGTGAGGTATGTTATGCTCTTCAAGAGGTCGTCTATATTGATTTTTGTGGCTAGTATATTCAAAAGCCTGGGCAATTTACCAGTTATCTCGCCAGATGACAGATTCTGAGGTGGGGGGTGGTACAACATTGGATCCCAACAATTCTCACCCTTCACGAAAATCTGACAGTATGTTTTAATAGCATATTCTTTCACTCTGCAATGGAAAAAAGACTGGACTGTCAATATTTTCTTTGCTGTTGTTGAGGACGCAGGTTCCCAACTGACCTAGGGAAGAATAAGTTGCTATGGACAATTTAGTAGATTATAAGCAGTTGTTGGTGAAAGAAAAGTTTTGATAAACCACCTGGTGTAGAATAAAACAGTTCTGAGCTGAAACCTAACATTTTCTTAAGATTACTATTACATTATTGACCAAGTCACCCAAATGTCACTCTACACTCAAAGAGAAATGGACCTCTGAGTATGATACCATATATGCTAAACACAATGTTGGAGTTTCCAATATATGATTTTGTTCCAGATGACATGAAGTTTACAAGGCTTTTGAACACTAAAATCTTTGTGAATGAAAAGGAAGCATAAGATGAACTGGGATATTTTTTCTTAAGCTGTTGGCAATATCTATTATTACACATATACCCCAAGGTCAAGGAGGAGGACATATATATATACATAACCTAATTTGCATATATATCTATTTCTAATTTTTATTTGAGGATAGTTGATTTGTGTTGTGCTAATTTCAGGTCTTATAGCAAAATGAATCAGATATACATACATCTATTTATATATTCAATCTCTTTCAGATTCTCTTCTCATATAGGTTACTTAGTAGAGTTCCCTGTGCTATACAGTAGGGCCTTGTTAGCTATCTAATTTTAAATTACTTTTATTGGAGCATAGTTGCTTTGCAGTGTTGTTTTAGTTTCTGCTGACAGCAAAGTGGATCAGCTTGTATGTGTACATACAGCCCCTCTTGGGATTCCCTTGCCATTTAGGTCACCACAGAGCCCAGAGCAGATTTCCCTGAGGTATACAGTAGATTCTATTTTGTATGTAGTATCAGAAGTGCATACATGTCAATCCCAGTACCCCAGTCCATCCCACCCCCACTCTCTCCCCACTTGGTGTCCATACATTTGTTCTCTCTGTCTCTGTCTGTCTTTTTGCAGATAAGATCATCTGTACCATTTTCTAGACTCCACATATATGCAGTAACATATGGTATTTGTTTTTCTCTTTGAATTTTTCACTCTGTATGACAGACTCTAGGTCCATCCATGTCTCTACAAATGACCCAATTCCATTTCCTTTTATGGCTGAGTACTAGTCCACTGTATATTGTGCCATATCTTCTGTATTTATTCATCTGTAGATGGGCATTTAGGTTATTTCCATGTCCTGGCTATTGTATTTAAGTAGTTCTGTGATAGGCATTGGGGTGTATGTGTCTTTTTGAATTATGGTTTTCTAAGAGTATGTAACTAGCAGGGGGATTTCTGAGCATATGGTAGTTCTATTTTTAGTTTTTCAAAGGAAACTCCATACTGCACTCCATAGTGGCTGTATCAATTTACATTCCCACCAACAGGGTAGAAGGGTTCCCTTTTCTCCACATAGCATCTCAACTATTTGTTGTCTGTAGATTTTTAAATGATGGTCATTCTGACTGGAGTGAGGTGATGTCTCATTGTAATTTTGATTTGCATTTCTTTAGTATTTAGTGATGTTCAGCATCTTTTCATGTGTTAGTTGGCCATCTGCACGTCTTATTTGGAGACATGTCTATTTACATCTTCCACCCAGTTTTTGATTGGGTTCTTTATCCTGGCTATTGTATTTAAGTAGTTCTGTGATAGGCATTGGGGTGTATGTGTCTTTTTGAATTATGGTTTTCTAAGAGTATGTAACTAGCAGGGGAATTTCTGGGCATATGGTAGTTCTACTTTTAGTTTTTCAAAGGAAACTCCATACTGCACTCCATAGTGGCTGTATCAATTTACATTCCCACCAACAGGGTAGGAGGGTTCCCTTTTCTCCACACAGTGTCTCAACTATTTATTGTCTGTAGATTTTTAAATGATGGTCATTCTGACTGGAGTGAGGTGATGTCTCATTGTAGTTTTGATTTGCATTTCTTTAGTATTTAGTGATGTTCAGCATCTTTTCATGTGTTAGTTGGCCATCTGCACGTCTTATTTGGAGACATGTCTATTTACATCTTCCACCCAGTTTTTGGTTGGGTTCTTTGTTTTTTGGATATTGAGCTACATGAGCTATTTGTATATTTTGGAGATTAATCCTGAGGGTTGTCTTTCCATCTTGTTTATGGTTTCCTTGGCTGTGCAGAAACTTTAATTAGGTCTCTTTAGTTTTGTTTTTATTTTCATTAGGAGGTAGGTCAAGAAACATCCTGCTATGACTTATGTTAAAGTGTTCTGCCTATATTTTCCAGTAAGGGTTTTATAGTGTCTGTCCTTACATTTAGGTCTTTTCTCCATTTTGAGTTTGTCTTTGTGTTCTTGCCTCCTTTGTCATAGATTAGGTGACCAAAGGTATGTGGGTTTATCTCTGCAGCAGTGTACTATAATGGCTATGATATTAAGATACTGACTCTGAAAGAAACTTCTTAATTTCCAGTCCTGGTTCACTATGTAGCTTTGGGCAGGTGACTAAATCTTTTGAAGTCATCAGTGTCCTCTTCTATAAAATGATACCTACTCATCAGGTTCTTAGGACTGTTAAATGAATAAGAGCATAATTATGAATATTCTTAGGCACACAGTAAGTGCTATATTTGTATATGCCATCAGTAGCACAATGTCCTCATCAGGAAAGCCTGGCAGTATTTTTATAATCAAATTCACATTGAATCCTGGTGATCATTATATATATATGTGTGTGTGACCATTCTAGACATTGATGCCATCTTATCCCAGGATCTGGCAAGTATCCCCTTCAGAATAGCTATCAGTTCAGATTTGTGGATGGATGACTGCTTGGTTCTCCCTTCCCCGGGTGACCAGTCAGGACACTGGTTTTGACTCTGTTTCTGTCAAAGTATAATCCCCTTTTCCACATGTGGGTGTAATTAGGTTCATTCTGTAAAACTCAAGACTGGATATCAATGCTATACATGATATTAAGAAGCAAGATGGTTTCGCTGCAGGGTTTTCTTGTTCATATATATATACACATACACACATGTGTGTGTGTATGTATAAAACTTACTATGTAGTCTCTTTAAAAAAAGTTTAAAATGTGTTACATGTAAACTTCCATGATTAAGTCCAGGTTATGGAAAGGAAAGATGGTCAATAGAGCAGATGAATTTGAGAAATATGTAGGAAATACAATATTCACATATAATAAGTTGTTAAAAAAAAAAACAAAAACAGTCCCATTAAGCTCCACACTTAACTGTGTTAGTTTTAGCCCTGAAACAGAATCTTATACCAGAGAAGTGGGCATCTCCGGACCAGCACTAGTTAGGTCAGCTGCCAGACAGACCCCTGCCATCCCCTAGAGGAGAGCAACCTCGCAACAGCCGGCCTACTTTTCTGCCTAGTATAACATTTTTGTTCTTGCTCCTTTCTGCCTTCAGAAGTCTTTCATTTTCTACAGCTCCTTGGAGATCCTTTTGTCTTCTAGACTAGATGCTGCCTAATTCATGAATTATTGAATAAAGCCAGTAAGATCTGTAAAGTTTACCTAGTTGAATTCTGTTTGTTTACAGTTTGATGGCCGTGGTTGAATCTGAAGGAGACTACCAATGGCTCTGAGGACAATGGGGGACACAGACGTCTGTCCCCATGAACACTTCCACTTCGCTGGCTTCTCATCACTCCCAAGTGCTGTGTGAGCTCCCCTCAGGTCTGAGCGCCTCGTGTAACTGGCTCTCCAGTCCTGGGTCAGCCTGGACAGGCGGTAGCAGAGTGCTCGTCCTCAGCTACATCAGTTCCCAGTTACACTTGGGAGCCACTCTTGGTGCACACCTCAGGCCTTCTCTGGGCCAGTCCCCAGGACCACCTCACTGGTGACTGCTGGTATCCACACTTGCATTTTGTTAATGTGTACGTGCAGGAAGGGAATAATAGTCCTACTGCTAATGGGAACCTTAGAAGGCAAAGCTACAAAACCAGCAGGCAAGGATTGAGCGCTAAAAAACCATTCGAGTGCTTGCCACCCAACTCTGACTCCCATCCTAGGGTCAGCTGTTCACAGAATGACTTAGAGTGACGATACGTCACCCTAACTCCAGGTACACTTTATTTATCCCAGCTGCCTTCCCCTCTTGGTGTCCACACATTCACTCTCTATGCCTGTCTCTCATTTCTCTTTTAAAAATAAGACAGTCTATAGTGTTTTCTGGCTTTCCTGCTGGCTCAGACGGTAAAGAACGCAGCTGCGATGCAGGAGTGTGTTTGTGTGTGTGTTAGTCGCTCAGTTGTCTGTGACTCCACGGACTGTAGCCCACCAGGCGCCTCCGTCCATGGGATTCTCCAGGCAAGAGTACTGGAGTGAGTTGCCACTCCCTTCTCCAGGAGACCTTCCTAACCCAGGGATCGAACCTGAGTCTCCTACATTGCGGGCAGATTCTTTGCCACCTGAGTCGCTAGGGAAGCCCACACACACATCGTTTTCTACATTCCACATTCATGTGTTAATATACAATATTTGTTTTAATCTTTCTGACTTACTTCACTCTATGACAGAATCTAGGTCCATCCATATATCTACAAGTGATCTAATTTTGTTCTTTTTATGACTAATACTCCAGTGTATATATGTACCACATCTTCTTTATACTTTCTTCTGTTGATGAACATTTACTTTACAATCCCCAACACAGCAGCATTAATTGCGTATTAATGTGGCTCTAGAAGAACCTAGGCTTAGGCAAAGAAGTGAGATCCACACATTTTAAATAATTGAGTGCACCACTTTTGAGCACAAAGGCTCACCATTTTATGTCTAATAACTGAGGTCCTGGAAGTTGTCAGTATCTACCAAGACAGTAAAATATTCCTGACACAATCTAGAATCACAGTGGCCATGTTGATGAATGCTCTGGGTCAACACCACCATTCACGGAAGTGCTCTTGAAAGCAAAGACTCCCAAGTCAGGCAGGATGGGATACTTGTTTTAATCGTCTTGCAGAGGTTTCCAGAAGACTAGTGAGAAATCAAAGACACAAGAAGTACCTAGAGCAAAGGACTGTAAGACTGACATGACTCCTACTCTCCTCTCTAGGCTCCTCACCTGAGCACTCGCAATCTGCTCATCTTCCACCTGAGCTGACTTTCCACTCTGAAGAGGCTACAAGACTGAAACCAAAGTCCTCCAAGTAAGTGGCCACATAGATGTCCCCACATCAACCCTTGAAGGAGGATCCCTTCCCGGGCTGATGGGACTCTGAGGGATTCTCAAGTAAACTGCTACCAATTGCACCTTTAAAAAGCTAATGTAAAACTAAAATTAGTGGACAATCTTGTAAAATTCTGGTAGATATTGGGGCTATGCTCTCTGCTTTATACCTCAGTCATCACACAGATGCAAACCGAGATCTTAGTAGATTTTGTTGTACAATTTTAGCCATGAGGTAGGTGTGATACTATAAAATTCATTAGTTTATAAAAGAACAGTTGGATACAAATCTTCCCTCTTATTTGTCTCATTTCCTGAGAACTTGGCAACTGTCAGGTTGGAGGCCTGGAAAGTAAGATCAGACAAATATGGGTTGTGTTCCATTTTTGGTCAGGGCCTACTCATCACTGCCAGCCCTCAGGGGAATTCAGTCTTGCTTTCCTTTGGTTATCTATGGGAGTGGCTCTGTAACCTAAGTTCTGGACCCTGGTGGGCTTCCCAGGTGGCGCTAGTGGTAAAGAACCTGCCTGGCAATGCAGGAAACGTAAGAGACATGGGTTTGATCCCTGGAGAAGGAAGTAGCAACCCACTCCAGTATTCTTGCCTGAAGAAGCCCATGGACAGAGGAACTTGGCAGGCTATAGTCCATGGGGTCACAGAGAGTCGGACATGACTGAGTGACTAAACATACACACACCAGAGTCAGAGTAAAATGCATTTTAGGCCCTCTCTCCTAAGCCAAAATGAACCTAAGTACCTAGAGAGAAAGAAGTCATTCCAAAAACAAGCAGCTCTAAGTCTAGAATACAAGTGCTGCTTTTTTGCTTGCTTGTTTTGTTTTTCCATCTTAATTGAAGGTCTTCTCCAGGATACTAAGAGGCAATTTGGGGATAAGGTGGTTGGGTGGGTGGGTCAGCCTAGGATGTCATTCAGGCTGCAACCCCAGTCTAAAAACAACTGGCCTTGTTTTAAGTCTTTACAACAACAGAAATACAGTCCTAAAAGCAGTATCAAGGGCCACCTATCCTCCTTACCAATCCCCAAACCTCCCCTAGCCCTGGGATCGCACAGAGTCAGAAGGCCTGTGGAGACTGTAAAAGATCTGGACTTAGGAAACAAGGTCTTCTCGGGGGAACTTACATCCTTTCTCTGTACCTTCTGAGATGCAGATATTTTACCTGGTCTTCTCTAGGAAGGAAGATGATTCTTATCAGAAAGAAAAAAAAAAAAAAAACTCAAAGAAGAAATAATGGTAAAAGAATAGCTATTTGAAACCTAGAAACCTAGGCCTATTATAATATATTTGATTAGTGAAAAGTCTTTACTATCTAAGGACATAACCTTACTTTATTCCATCTGCCAAATCCAGAATTTGTATATCTAATTGTTCTTTTATAAACTAATGAGTTTTGAATTATCATACCTGCCTCATGGCTAAAATTGTAAAACAAAATCTATTAAGATTTCTGTCTGCATCCATCTGTGAGTATGTTATGTGCTCAGTCATGGCTGACTCTGTGCGACCCCATGGACTGTAGCCCGCCAGGCTCCTCTGTCCATGGGTTTCTCCAGGCAAGACTTCTAGAGTGGGTTGCCATCTTCCCAACCCAGGGATCAAAGCCAGGTCTCCTGCATTGCAGGTGGATTCTTTATGCCCTTGTATGCTATAGATGTGTGATATTTTCCTACATGCAGATGATATTACCAATGTTAATATGTAAAGAGCTTTGCTGAATTGGCCTAAAGACAAACACACATTCTATTAATCAAATATACTTTCAGAAATATAAAAACTCACACAAATACTTTCCAAGATCATGTGATCTAGGATAATCTTCAATAAACAAGCTGGTTTAAGCTTGATTTAATTAAAACAAGCATGCTTTAGAGTTAACAATATTAAATGTAATACTTTTATTCTACCTAGGCTTACTAAAAGTCCAATAAGCTCATGTAATGTATTATAGAATTTTTTTTACAAGAAAGGCAACTTAAGGTGATGGTTAGCTGTTTAATGTCTCATGAACTTTTCATCAGTATCTAAATGTAATTAAACAGAAATTTATAAGTAAACTTTTCAACAGTAACTATGCTTTATGGTCTTTTCCAAGGTCTTTTCTGGTAACTTGGAACCCGAAAGTTGTATTGAAATAAGTCAAATAATGGATATTTACTAAATATCTAAATTATTTTCAAATACCATAAAATACTGAAACTATTACTGAACGTAAGTTTATCAAACTTATTTTTAGCTTCCTTTTACTGAGGAACTAAAGATATTTGGATCTAGTAGTAAACACCACATTGAAAAATGTATTGATAAATATACTTCTGGAAATTATGAAATGTTATACACTTAACAATCTCCAGAATGCTTGTTTGACCGTCTACAATTGCTCACTTCTTACTTTATACCAGGAAGGAAGGATTCTAAAGGATAAGACTTATAATCACTATATGGAATTATAATGACTTAGAAATAATAAGTCTGAAAGGAAAAAACTGGTTGTTCCTAACTGAAAATAAAATGGGACACAATTTGAATGAACACAAAAAAAGTTGTAGAGGTTTGCAGAAAAGAACTCTTGGGAAGGGAATTTTCTGTGTGGTCAAGCTAGTTTGGAATGGATTAAGTTCACTGTGGAAAAATCAGAATTTGGTTTCCTCTCCATTAAAATGGCAAAGTGTTGTAGTTTTGGTCTTCTTTTCATAAAGACTGTGAAAATTCACCTTTTAAAAGTATTCTGCCTGAACTGCAAAGTTTTATATTTGACCAAATTAACTGTGCTTCATGTTATCTCTATTAGGTCTTGAATTCCTTAAGAAAACTCAACCTTCTTAATATTAAAAGAGGTAAGTTTTGCTTATAACTACATAATTGTTTTTACCTTTGCCATCTTTTATTTTCATTTCAGTTAAGTAGATAATGACTGAAGTATTATCTAGTAATGATCTGTGATCCTATTTAATCAAATGTTCAAACTTTTTGATATTTTCCCCAAATCAAATTTTAATTAGGGTCTTTTTTGACCTCAAACTAACTTTGATATTTCCCAGAGGATCCCCGGGAAATGTCAAGGGATTTGTTTCTCCTATGGTGAGATGTTAAAATCAATTAGGGTTATTTGATATGTTAAATTATGCAGGAAGCATTATCAAATAAGAAGTGATGCTAAACCTTCTTAGGTTATATTTGTGTGGATGCATGCTCTTAATGTTCTGAAACTGTAATATCCTAGAAATTTGATATGTTCTTGTATAATAATGTTATCATATTTTCCCAGCTATTACCTTAATTAGCCATGGGCATTTAAAAATCTTCCCTGGTGTTCTAGTGGTTAGGATTTGGCACTTTCACCACCACAGCCCATGTTCGTTTCCCAGTAAGAGTTTCCTTGCTAGCTCAGTGCTAAGTGACATAAGAGATGTAGGTTCAATCCCTGGGTTGGGAATATCCCCTGGAGAAAGGCATAGCAACCCAGCCCAGTATTCTTGCCTGGAAAGTCCCATGGACAGAGGAGCCAGGTGGGCTGCAGACCATGGGGTCACAAAGAATCAGACATGACTGAAGTGACTTAGGGATGCATGCAATGCAAACATGGACATTTTTAAGTCTGTTTTCATTTTACTCTGTGTTTGCAAAAGTCAAAGTCATGAAGAGGATCCTACCCTGTACTCTTGATCACTGACACCACTGCCAAATTATTAGCTATTGAAACTTGGGTGCATTTTCACAGGTGAAGTAGGCTTTACCTGACATCAGGTCCTGTGCCAACATGGAGACCTCAAATCACACTAAGTAGAAAGGGAATTAGCTAGCTGACATAGAGGTAAGAAGTCAGATCAAGAATGTTTAATTTCTCCTTCCTCCTCTGATCATCCTGTTCCTACATCTTATATCGTGAAGGTCTTTATGATTCTTTTGTCTACTTTTACTGCCTTGCTCTGGCTGCAAAGATAATGCCATTGGTCCCATATCTCAGCCAATTACAAGGGTGGGGAGGATACTAATCCAGGCTTCAAACAACTGCTGGATTTGCCAGGATTCTGATAATTCTGTCAAAGCCTCAGGTTTCTAAAAAAAACAAACTCACCCTCTTTATCTTTCATGTTAGACTCCCAAGCCTGGGGAACTTTGCATCTAGGCTCTGTACACAGAAAGGGACAGGAGGCAAGGAGAAGCACACCAATCCACCTGCGGTTTCACAAACCCGTACGCTTCACTGGCCTCCATAGCTGTCATCTTTCCAGTCCAGAGCCACAGACTCAAATGCGAATTACCAAGATGCCTTCATGAATCCAACTTTACTTCCTTCAGCAGATTCCTACTAAACTGACTAGTACGCTTACCTTTACTGAAAATGAGGCTATGATCAGAAACTATTCCTTGCTCTTGGAGAGATTACAGAATCTGCTGCTGAAGCAAGAGCTGCCTGACAGAAATTCCCAGATTCTCTGCTCAAAGTTGTTCTTAATAATGACACAGCCTTTCATTATTTCTTGACTAACCAAGGTGTCCATGCCATGGGAAACGGACACCGCTTCCTATGGTGGATTGGTACCTTGAGGAAGTTGCCAGTCAGCTCCACACTATCAATGGAGTCTTTCTTTGGCTGGCTCTGATAGGCTTGGGACTTGGGGAGCATGTCTCTCCAGTGCAGACACTGGGCATTCTGCTGATAATCCTCGTGGTCTCCCTAGTGAAAAGCTTTTAAATGCATGTTCACAGCTGATAACCACCACACAAATGATCACCCTGAGACTGGAACACGAGAAAAGGACCGAAGAGCCTGAGCAACATAAAGAATGTGGATCCGCCCTGGTGACCTCCGGATGCCACGGAGATGCAGCAAAACACTGTAAGAATGCCAGAGCCATCACTGGTGAGGGAGTGGGGAGTGCTGATACCTTAAATTTCTATCACCTCTCTCAGACTGTGAGTGATTTCAAAGGGGGAAATCGTTAAACACAAGAAAAACAGACACAGTGGAGTTTCTTACCCTAAGTTCCACTTTAGCAAACCAAGACTTAACCTAAGGAAGGTTTTGACTCTCCTAGAAATGAATCTTCAACCAGTCCACCAGGAATTGCTGGATCCACTAGTTAGATCATCTGCCTGACTGACCGCTGCCATCTTCTAAAGGAACCCCACAATAACTAACCTGCTTTTTTGCCTAGTGTAAACTGCCACATTCCCAGCCACAGTGTAGGAGGATTCCCTTTTTCCACATCTTCTCTACCATTTGTTATAGACCTTTTAATAATGGCCACTCTGAACAATGCGAGATGGCGCCTAGTTATAGTTTTGATTTGCAGTAACTATAATTCAAAAAGATGCGTACACCCCTATGTTCACAGCAGCACTATTCACATAGCCAAGACATAGAAACACCCTAAATGTTCATCAATAGATGGATGGATAAAGATGATGAGCTGTGTATATATAGACATAAAACTATAAAAACCAGAGTGGCCATCAAAAAAAAGGCAAAAAACAACTGCTGCAGAGAGTGGGGAGAAGTAGGGATGTCGGCTGTGGCAGCCACTATGGAGGAGAACAGCATAAATGTGCCTTAAGAAAACTAAACACAGAATCACCAACTGATCCTGCAGCCCCACTCCCGGGCACATACCCAGAGAAGGAAATGATGCCATTTGTAGCAACATGGCTGGACCTAGAGATGATCATACTAAGTGAAGTAAGTTGAGACAGAAAGACAAATACCATATGCTATCACTTATATATGGAATCTAAAATATGGCACAAATGAACCCATCTCTGAAATAGAAATGGAATCACAGACAGAGAGAGAAAAGATTTGTGGTTACCAAGAGGGAGATAGGTGGGGGAAGGATGGGCTGGGAGTTTGGGATTAGCAGATACAAACTATTACATATGGGATGGATAAGCAAAAAGGTCCTACTGTATATAGCACAGGGAGCTATATTAAATATCCTACAATAAACCACAATGGAAAACAATATAAAAATAATGTATATATGTGAATAACTGAGTCACTTTGCTGCACCCCTGAAACTAACCAACCCACATTGTACACTGACTCTACGTCACTGAAAAAGTCATCCTGCACAGCTCCTCACAGTTCCTTCCCATCTGTGAGACTGGATGCTGCCTGATTCAAAATCACTGAATAAAACCAGTAAGATCTTAAAATTCACTGGGATACATTTTAAATTGTTCTCATGGGCATAATTATTTCAATTACTGTTATTAACTGCCATTTGAGGGATTCGTTTCTGTCACTGGAATAAAGCTTGACTGACCTCGGTCTTCACTGGAACATATGTAATCACTGTCCCTTATTGAGAGGTTCTTCCAGATTGTTCCTGGTCCTACTCCTTTACAATCGCCACCTACAAGCACCTAACCTAAGAGAAACTTCACGCAAGAGAATGAGAATAATGATGGTGACTTACCCTCTATTCCACTTCATCCCTGCCAGATATATATTTGACATCACCGAAGAAAACCATCACTCGTAAGTTCAGTCGTATCTCTTCCTCACTCAAACTTCTCCAAAGCCTTCCCACTACACTTACAATAAACTAGAAGCTCCCATCACGGTCCATAAGGCCGCTGTGGTTCCCTCTAGAATCGCCATGTGCACCGACCTGCTCTAGTTCCCAGAACAGATCCAGCTCTGTCCTCTGCAGGGTTTCCGCACTGACCTTTCTCTGGAACACACCAATGTTACTCACTGTTACCTTCTGAAGGTCTTCCCTTAAATACTACTTCCTTAAAGAGATGGTCCCTAACCAACTAAATGGCATTAAACCCCATTCTTTGCATTTCTCTCTCAACCAGTGTCGCTTTGTTTCCTTGGTGGTACTAATTATCACTTAAAATATACATATAAAAACATATGCATATACTTACTTATTTTTTATATTCTAGCCTAGTTATACCTACCCACAACTGGATGCAGGGGACACGGGATGGTATTTGGCCATGCCCACAGACATTTTTGGTTGTTACGACCAGGTAAAGGGGGATGCTAATGGCAAATAGTATCCAGGGATGTTTCTACATATCCTATAATGCACAGGACACCTCTCCCCCTCACAAACCTATAGAAGTATTATCCAACATAAAATGTCAATATTGCAAAAGCTGAGAAATCTTGGTCTAGTTCTACCACTGTATTGAAATGCTTCATGAAGGCAATGCCTTCCCTAGCTTATTTATCTGTGGACCCAGAACCTAGCAAATACCCTCTTGGATGCATGAGTGGATAATAACAAGGAGAAAAAGGTAGGTGAAGTGCCTCAGAGCAGAAACTATCCAAACACAGAGACCTCACATTTTGCCTGGAATCCCATTCTGTTGGGATGGGTTCCATCAAAATAAGCATCCTTGCTCGGAATTCTCCAGTTTTCCCCTTTGAAGTCTACTTCTACCTGAAGCATGACGTATTCCTCTGTTGGAATCCTTGTCATGTACAAAACTAGAGATATATAGCAAAAACAGACTTACCCAAAGGTGAGGAGTGTAGGGCACAGACAAAACACGATGGGTACCAGCCTGCTGACTGCCCCCTAGTGGTCTGATGCAGCAGTGTAGCGTTGTGGCACTGGAGGGGCCAGTTGTATTCATACTGCCTGGCCCCCGCGGCTGAAAACACGAAACATCTCTGACTTAGTGGCCAGCATTCGGCTATGAAACAGACTATGGATCCAGAGGGGACCAAAATGAGAGCTTCACAGTCATTTCCCCTTCTGTAATATCTCAGGACTGCATGACGATTATATGTGGCATTTCTGCAGAAATCACCTCATCATTAAAAAAACAAAATTCCTCTAGAAAAAAGTTTTAAAACTTTTTATGAAAACACAAATGACTCTGGATAGCCAATGCAATCCTGAGAAGGAAAAATGGATCTGGAGGAACCAGACTGCGTGATTTCAGTCTATACTACAAAGCTATAGTACTGGCACAACAAGAACAGAAATATGGATCAATGGAACAGGATAGGAAACCCAGAAATAAACCCATGCACCTATGGGTCAGTTAATCTATCAAAGTCTGTCCGATAAATGATGCTGGGAAAACTGGCTAGCTACATGTTAAAGAATGAAATTAGAACACTCCCTAACACAGTACACAAAAATTAACTCAAAATGGATTAAAGACCTGAAGGCCAGACACTATAAAGTCTTAGAGGAAAACATAGGCAGAAAACTCTTTGACAAAAATGGCAGCAATATTGTTTTTTGATCCAACACCCAGAGTAATACAAATAAAAGCAAAAATAAACAGGACCTAAGTAAACTTAAATGCATTTGCATAGCAAAAGAAACCATAAACAACACGAAACAACAACCTACAGAATGGAAGAACATATTTGCAAATGAAGCTATGAACAAGGGATTCATCTCCAAAATATACAAACAACTCATGCAGATCAATATAAAAAAGATAAACAACCCAACACAAACTGGGCAGAAGAGCTAAACAGACATTTCTCCAAAGAAGACATACAGATGGCCAAAATGCACACAAAAAGATGCTCAACGTCACTAATTACCAGAGAAATAAAAAATACAGTGCGGTATCACCTCACACAGGTCAGAATGGCCTATATCAAACAGTCTAACAAAAAATACATGCTGGAGAAGGTGGAGAAAGGGGAACCCCTCCATCCTGTTGGTGGGAATGTCAATTTGTGCAAGACACTAAGGAGAACAGTATGGGGGGGTTCCTTAAAAATAGAACTACCATATGATAACACTTATATGTGTAATCTAAAAAAATGTATATATACAGATGAACTTATCTACAAAACGGAAACAGAATCACAGGCCTAGAAAACAAACTTACATTAACAGTTACCAAAAGGGAAGTGTGGGAGGCAGGGATAAACTAGGAGCTCGGGAGGACCATGTACAGTCTAACACACATACAATAGCTGGTCAGTAAGGGTCTATTGCAGAGCAGAGGGCACACTACAGAACTTGGTCATAACCCACATGGGAAAAGAACATGAGACGGAACAGATGTACGTGTGTGTGTAACTCATTCACTTTGCTGTACACTTGGAACTAATCCAATATTGTTCAGTCAACTATCCTCCAGTGAAAAGTAAACTAAAAAAAAAACCTCAGTTAGAAGCAAACATTCCTCCTTTACCTACTGGACTGTGCATTTGGTGGTAACGTAGATGACAGGACAGATATTAAAAATTAAATGGCATACACCGCGTGTCCCTGGATGCCAAGTAACAATGAATGTGAAGCGCCCGCTCAGGGTCAACAGGATTCACCCAAACTTGCAAGTCTATGCAATTCAGAAATGGGACATGTGCTGAGCTCTTCTTAGAAAGTGTCCTGCTCTCCTTTCCATAAGGAGATCACTTGGCTTTCATGATAATGTCAACAGTTCTCCAAGGAAGCAGAGGTCAGCTTCCCAAACTGGGGAGTTAGGATGGGCCCACCTTCTAATATAGTCTAAGAGACAGGACAAGGCATGTTTGCCATCCCAGGTCCAAGTGATTTGTAAACATCTTCAGCAAAATGAGAGAGTGAACATTTTGTCACAGGAGCAGCCCCTGTCCCCTTAGTTTCTGTCCTCTGGTCGGGAGGATGTGTAGCTACTCCTGGCAGTGTGGGGGGAGGTTCACCTGAGATGCAGGTCATCACTGAAATGTGACTGCACAGTCAGCGGTCTTTGTAAACTGGTGTGGACATGGTCAGATGCTGAAAATCTGCGGCAGACCGGCCCATTCTATCGTCACACTTCCCTGGGGCTGATCAAACATCCCGGGGAAGATTCCTTAGCTTGATAGAAAGGGTGAAAAACCCTCCACCCTGTCATCTGTGTTCCTGAGGGGGCTGTTCATGTGTCTCCCCTCACCCTCAAATTATTTAACCTTCAGCTTGGAAATCATCCTCTTCATCTAAAATTTGGGGGACAAAAATTAGGCAGACTATCAGGCGTATGTATGACTGCGCACCTCAGGCTACACTTTCCGTGTCAGATTATACTAACAATATAGCTTACTTTAAATACCACTTCATTTCTAACTCTGAAGAGAGTCTAATGATTAATTTAAATTAAACTACTCCAAAGCCAAAGTGGTATGTGTTATAAAACACGAAAGTGAGCTGGCTGAAAATTTTAATTTTCCCTACTTATTAGCTTTCTGCTCTGGGAATACATTGAAGGTGTTAATTTCCTGGGTTTCAGATCTATTTTAAAATGCACCAGGCTGAGAGAGAGGCAGGGGGTGGGGGTGGGGTGGACAGAATGCAGAATAATTTTCTCATCTTTGAGAGAGAATTAAGAAACTTGGTTATCTTTTCGAAATTGGCTTCTGAGAGACTATTTTAGACTTTAGATGATGCACTCTGGTTACCTGATTCATATGGTACTTAACATAAGACAGATGCTTACAGCTCTATCAGTTTTCTTTGGACTGAAGTGGATGCATACTCCAAAAGTTCATAGGCTGAAGATCTAACCACGCCCCCCACCCCCGCGCCGTGACTGTATTTGGTGAGAGAGCCTTCAGTTCAGTTCCGTTCAGTCGCTCAGTCGTGTACGACTCTTTGCGACCCCATGAATCGCAAAGGGGTTGTTAAAGATAAGTCATAAAGGCGGGTCCTAATTAGATAGGGATGGTGCCCATAGGGAAAGGAGGAGAAGCCACACAACTCTCTCTTGATGAGTAGACAGAGGAAAGGCCACATGAAAACACAGCAAGAAAAGAGAACCCGTTGGAAGTTATCCCTGCTGGAATCCTGAGCTCAGAATCCTAGCTCCCAGAACTGTGAGAAAATACATGTCTGTTGTTTAAGCCACTCTTCTGGTATTTTGTCCTGACAGCTTGAGCATATTATACACAACTCTACAAACTTCTCTTATATTAAAAAGCAGTGACATTACTTTGCCAACAAAGGTCTGACTAGTCAAAGCCACGGTTTTTCCAGTAGTCATGTATGAATGTGAGAACTGGACTATAAAAAAAGGCAGAGCACCAAAGAATTGATGCTTTTGAACTGCGTGTGGTGTTGGAGAAGACTCTTGAGGAGACTCCTTTGGACTGCAAGGAGATCAAACCAGTCAATCCTAAAGGAAATCAGTCCTGAATATTCATTGGGAAGATTGATCCGAGGCTGAAACTGCAATACTTTGGCCACCTGATGTGAAGAGCCGACTCATTAGAAAGATGCTGGGAAAGATTAAAGGCAGGAGGAGAAGGGGACCACAGAGGATGAGATGATTGGATGGCATCACCAACTCAATGGACATGACTTTGAGCAAGCTCCAGGAGATGGTGAAGGACAGGGAGGCCTGGTGTGCTGCAGTCCACGGGGTCACAAAGAGTCAGACACAACTGAGTGACTGAACAACAACCTACTTCTCTGGTTTGATCATATAAGTACTGCACCATATAGGGCAGTAAAATCTCATTTACAAGATTAAATAATGAAAATAGTTGTCCAAAAGTCCACATATTTTAAGCTGTTAAAGTCTTTTTCCTCCATAACAGAGTCTTCATAAATAACATTGTCTATTAGCCTACTAGAATCATACTGTCTTTTCTAGATTATTGCTATTTCTAGGTATAGGGCTGCTGGAGATGTAGACTATAAATCCTCGTGTCTACGCAAAACAGGACAGCAGTTGAGGGTAAGACATACAAAAAACAAACTACTTAAAGGCCAGTGATCTAATGAATCAATGGAGATGCACAACTCAGTAGTCACTGTGTAGCTGGAATAATGCCTCTGCAACTTTCTAGAGGTGAGCATTGTTCTTTAGTTGCTCAGTCGCGTCTTACTGTTAGGGACCCCATGGACTGTAGCCCAACAGGCTCCTCTGTAATTCTCAGGCAAATACTGAAGTAGGTTGACATTTCCTTCTTCAGGGGATCTTCCCGACCCAGGGACCGAGCCCACATCTCTCGCACTGGCAGGTGGCTTCTTTACTGCTGAGCGACCACGGAGGCCCGGTGTCGTACCCTTCCCTGCTCATGAATTCTCATCTCACTGTGGTCAGTGTGGCATGTGTGGCGGCAGCCCTGGCTTCTACCCACTAGATGGGCAGCCCCGCCCGCGTGTGACAGCTAAAGGTGTCTCCTGTGCGTGTGTGCTCGGTCGCGTCTGACCCTGCGACCCCGCGGACTGTAGCCAGGCTCCTCTGTCCATGGGATTCTCCAGGCAAGACGACTGGAGTGGGTTGCCGATTCTTCCTCCGGGGAATCTTCCTGACTCGGGCTCCAATACCGATAAGATGCGGTGGGACCTGGGTCAAGTCCTCGGAGCTCACTAGGACTACTGTCACTCCTGATCCTGCCACTGCACAGTGTCCCTCAAACAACCCGCGCTAACATGTGGGGATGGATCACATGTGCCTCCTCCTCCAAGACTTGAGTCCACAGACTTGAGATGAACATAGAACTATTGAGTTGCAAGTGCGCTGAGAGATTTCTGATCCAAATCACATTATTGAACAGTTGAAAAATGTAAGGTGAATGAGCTCACAGGACCAAGGACTCCCAGTCCACACTTAACCTCTGCACATTAAAATACTTACACCCAGAAAAATGTTAATATGTACCTGAAAGGAGAACAGCTCCTTACCAGTGGGTAATGAGTACTGAGTGCCAAGCA